CTTACTGATATAAAACTTGGTCAAATCACATTGCCAGATCAGCTAGTGATATCTAGTTACCATGTCGAACCACCAGGTAATCAACAAGCGTGTGTAGTGGCATTTCAATTTCACAAGTGCAACGCTCACACCTGTCTGTTCTACCAGCAAGTGGTCCACCCTCGTCAAAAATAGCGAAAAGTGACAACAAAATAATGACCGTTTGTTAAACAACTTTTTAATTCGTGTGTCCATAATTATAAGACAAATCATCCGAGTTGGTCTGTTGATTTCATGAAACTGTGAAAAAGTTGGTTTTGCTGCATTTATTAGATTTTGTGCTAGTGAGCAATTCAACGGCCTCAAATGAAATCAAACGGACTGTACACTATTGTTAAAATAATCACCTGTCCGTTAAACTTTTTTCACGCCTGATTCAAAGTTAACCCGTCTTGGGCGTTCTGGCGTACGGATGTTTCGAACACTGGAATGTCGCTAGTTTGACGATTCCTCACATGGGTACAATGTGTGGAGCCCATTTCTGGTTCCCTGGCCGTCATATTGCTGGAATATTTCTAAAAGCGGGGTAAAACTACACTCACTCACTCACTCGCTAGCTTGTCGATTGCAGGGCCAGAAGGCTAGCTTTAGATCTACCTTACCCAGGCAGGTTACGAGCAAAATGAAGTTCTGAATGGAAACTTTAACTACGGTAAAATGAAACACATAATAATTACTTATTTATTACTTATACCACCCCTCCCACCCTCCCTCACATAAGTACTGTCGGAAGATACGCATCGTTGCGTTTAAATAATGTCCTAGAAGCCACACGACACAGTTAGTTTGATTCTTATTGAAGTACCCAAGTACTGACCACACTGAAATTAAGCCAAGTGTATTTGTCAAATATTCACTGGAATATATATCATTGGAATATTTCGGTTGTTTCAGAGTTGAACATATTCATAGCATAATCACGCTTTATCAGTGTTGACTATCGTCATAATCAACAACGAAATTCGTTGAGCATTAAATGTATTAGTAATATTACATTATTTCCTATTCCTATTAAGCGGTTTGGCCCGTGAAGATCCAGGTTAGAATATTGATCTTCAGTAACCCATGCTTGTCGTAAGAGGCGACTAACGGGATCGGGTGGTCAGGCTTGCTGACTTGGTTGACACATGTCATATGTTCCCAATTGCGCAGACCGATGCTCATGCTGCTGATCACTGGATTGTCTGTTCCAGACACGATTATTTACAGACAGACGCCATATAGCTGCAATATTGCTGAGTGCGGCGTAAAACTAAACTCACTCACTCACTATTAATCGGTTTGGGTTAAAAAATATCTTGGAACAGATTTTACTTATATGACCTGATGTCAGCTTAATCATTCTCAGATGAAACATAATTGATCTAATCTTGTGTTCCCGATATATTCGATATATGTACGACGTATTCCAGGATATTAGCGTCTGAGTGTACGCAAATGAGCAAGAGAAAGAGAGTTGAAATGTATCCTGGTGTCAGCCTTGTAAATCTTTAAGTATTGATTCAGAGATAGTCATTGATGGCTGATTACTGTGTAGTACATGTATTATGTCGATGACCACTGACTTTCCAAGGCATATATAATTGTGTCTGCTAAATATAAGAGTACAACCACAAGTGACAGAGATTGCTGACGTTTGCCACGTCTTCTATTATTGGTCGAATCCAGTACCGCACCCTCCACCCGTTCCCTCAAAGCTGTCTCATCTCCTCCCTAATCCTACCTCCCGTCACACATAGACCATGATAGCGTGTTAATTCGTGCCTATAATTTAGTACAATTCACAAACTTTGATTGTCTCAACGATGTATATGGCTTATTAAACAGTACCTTTTCTTATCCATGTTACAACTGAAGGCCATTTATGGTGGTCCTCTATATTTAGAGCTTTACTGAAGTCCAAGTTGGAGAAGGGCAACATACTATAGTCTGTCAGAAAGTGGCAAATGTACTTCCCGTTGAACGTCTTACTCCTCCGCCACTCCATCACCACAAATATGACGTCTACCTTTTCAAAAAACTCTTTACCACCCTTCATAATCCTGTAAGGATTGTGCACTGCTGATATTCGCAGTCCTGCAACTGTGATATTGAACTTTTTCAAAAGGTCGTCTAGCAATATTGAGAATGACATGATACCTTGGTTTGCTTTCTTCTTTGATGTCATCAGCGATTTTATTGTGTACTTTTCTGGTGTTGTTTTGTCAGGTGTTAAGATCACGTCCGTATGGCTGCTGTAAAGAGCATTTGTCACGATGTAGTTCCGCCATCGAAGTCCAGATGCAATAATACCTCTACATAAACGTCTTGCGTTATCAGGTAATGGTTCAATAGAGACCACTTTGTGTTTCTTTGTGGCACCAACTCCAAGACTGTAGGCCCCTGTCCCTGCCCCCACTTCAATAAATACTGATCTCCGATTTTGGTTTAGCAGTCTGATAATCTTCTTTGTTCTCATGAACGTGTTAGTCGGGTCCTCTGCTTTGCCTCTCTCTTGGGCATGGTTGTACAGAAAGACGGATCGGTTGCCAGGTGTTACCATGCGTGTAGCCGTGAAGTTCTCCTCTGATTGGCATATGTCGTTGTGGTTGGACCACCTTTTGTCAGTCATATGGAACGCAATCCCCACCAAGGTGGAGGAACCCAATAGTCCTTCATCTCGAAACCCCGTGAACCGCCTGGCAGACTTATGGCATATTCAGGCGTCATGTTGCACAGTGTGAGGCTGATGTATACAACGACCGACCACAGCGTCAGAGACAGCAGGAGAAGGCCTACATCGGAGTAGGAACGGGGTTTCGGAGACGTCATCTAAATTCAATGTCAATGGAATCATTTAGAAATGTAGCCTCTTAAATATGTTTTGAATTTCTGTTTTGGATGTTTTTACCAACTGAAACCAGTAACAGTCACAGTAGAACAGTTTCAATAGATCCAGTGTACGTTCTGACGATAACGAATCTAATTGTTTCAATAACTTTTAAGATCAACCAGTTGTCAATGAAATCACAATGCCTCGAGTAAAACTGAATTGTGTTCTGAAGACAACTGACGTTGCTCCAACAAGATAAATACTGTATCACCATGATGTTTAGAGCTAAACAAGGTTGAATGTTGGAATGTTCAACTGTATGTATGAAACGAGCTTTGGTCCAGCATGGTGAAAAACAGATTACTGTATTCATGAGGGAAGAGCCAGTCTCTCGTAATGAACGATGAAGCTGTATTCATGAAACAAGCATTGGTCTAGCACACTAAACAACATATTATATAGAAGAAATATTGAAATAATGATACAGTGTTTTTTAAGAAACGAGTGTGGTGAACAATATATTAACTGTATCTATGACGCTGGACTAGCATGATGAACAGAGAATTAACTGAATTAAGCATAATAATTGGTCTGGCCTTATCAATTGTATTTATGAATGGCTAGGCAGTAATCTGAAAACAGTATGCATACGTGCTTTAGGACGATATTGAATGGTGAACCTACCGCGGTACCGTTGGTGCACAGTTTCCACATCTTGTCAAGGTTTGAACTGATGAAAGTTACCTCGATCATAGGATAATTGAACGTGATCTGATCCAAGCGTCAGGTTACAGATAAACAAAGAGGTTTCATATTTTACAACAATCAGGTTTCAGATACTGATCTATAGCGTGTCTATATACAAAGCTAGACGAAGCCTGATAACAACGATCGCGGTTTACTAGAAACGTTATCGTTTTGTAAACGTGTACGTGCGTGTGCGTGTAAAATGTTTGCAGGCAAATGTAATGACAGATCCGACATGGAGGTATAACCTTGGTATGACAGATCCGAAATTGAGGTAAAACCTTGATATGACAGATTCGAAATGTAGGCATAACCTTGGCAATGACAGATCCGACGTGAGGGTATAACTTGGTAATGACCCATCCTACGTGGAGGTATAACCTTGGTAATGACAGATCCGACATGGAAGTATAACGTTGTTATGACAGATCCGACATGGGGGTATAACGTTGTTAATGACAGATCCGACATGGAGGTATAACGTTATTAATGACAGATCCGACATGGAGGTCTAACCTTGGTAATGACAGATCGGACATGGAGGTATAACGTTGTTAATGACCCATCCTACATGGAAGTATAACGTTGTTAATGACAGATCCGACATGGAGGTATAACGTTATTAATGACAGATCCGACATGGAAGTATACATTTGTAATGACAGATCCTACGTGGAGGTATAACCTTGGTAATGACAGATCCTACGTGGAGGTATAAGCTTGGTAATGTCAGATCCGAATTGGAGGTATAACCTTGGTATGACAGATCCGACATAGAGGTATAACCTTGGTAAAGATAAATCCAGGGTTATGATAACATTTGGTACCAGTGAGAAGTTTCAATGTTCTGTTAACAAGTATGATGGTAAAGTATTCGTGCCAGGGAATTCAATGCCATGTTAAGTGTATCCTTTGACATCGTGAGTAAGAGGAGGAATGGAGAATAGGTCAATAAGAATCACCTCATTAATTATCCTCTATACATTACATGTAAAACTCTTCCAAACGACCGCCTCCGTGGTGTAGTGGTTAGAGCGTTCGCCCGGGGAGCGGAAGGTCGCAGGTTCCATCCCCGACCGCGTCATACCAAAAGACGTTACAATATGGTACTTGTTGGTCCCTGCCTGGCGCTCGGCATTAATGGGTACAACAAGGACTGGTCGGCTCGGAGTCAGTATAATGTGTCTGAGTGGGGTATTCATGCTTCACTGCGGCATGGTATCTCAGTGGGCTAGCACTATAAAACCAGCTTAAGTCTGGGCTAGTACAAGCATCCGCACCTACACATACACACGCATGCACGTCGTCATATGAGCGAAATATTCTCCAGCGCGACGTAAAACCCAATTTCACCTCACCTCACCTCTTCCAAGCAATAGCAAACAAAGAATGACTAAGAAAATTACGCACATCGTTATTTTATTCTCATAAATATTTTACACAAACAGGCAAAGAAACTTCATTCAACCAATGATTGGTGCATATGATGACACTGAAAGAAGAAGGGCAGACAGTTAGGAAATGCACATTACTGACTGGAATACAATGACACGTGGACGTTAAATGGTGACTGACCTTTGAACACCCGGTTGTACTTGCTCTTCTTTGGTGCAGTCCACGATGCCACCCTGGTGCAAGCTGACGATCCCCCGGAATGATGTGACCCACTCACCTGTATAACATAAGGTAGGCTGTACCGGTATCTGTCTCAGTGAATGTGTGGGTTGGGTTTTATGGCGCTTTTAGCAATATTCCAGATGGCGGGGACACCAGAAATGGGCTTCACACATTATTCCCATGCGGGGAATCTAACTGGGGTCTTCGGCGTGACGAGCGAACGCTTTAACCCCTTGGCTACTCCATCGCCCCTAATCTGCCTTGGAGAATATGATAACTTAACTAAGGTAGGACATCACATACATAGAGGATACTAAACGACCTTCCGTGTAATACCAGTTTTATTAAACGAGTTAATGATTTGGTATCTGATACTAAATCATTCACGAGTTTAATAAAAGTGGTATTTCACGGAAGCGAGTTTAGTATTCTGTTTATTACTCTCCAACATAAATTGATAGAAACTGTCTAGAGTGTGATGACTTGAGTCATCTTTCCTCGAGTCAAGTAAGATCTAATGCCATTGTGACAGAGGAATTAGCATTGTGACGTCATAACTGTAACCATTTATGACGTCATACGTTTAGCGGTATTACACTAGTGTAATACTGCCGTAAAAATATTACACTGCAGTATCTTACACGGGCGAGTAATAAATAGGGAATACTACACGAGGTCTCGTTACATACGAATTATACGAAACGATTGTCCTTCCTATGGTATCTGACCGAGCGAAGCGAGGTCAGTATAGGAAGGTCAAGTTTCGTAGGGCTTATGTAATGAACCGATCATCAAACTTCTCCATAGCACCCCGTCCCTTAGTTTGCAGTTGCTTCATTCGGCTAACATCACTGGTGAAAACATTGCGTTTATGTTTTTCGACGCATTTTATGCCTCAGTTCGACTCACAATTAAACAGCGACACGGCAAACGTTCGCAATGTTTACATTCCCACAATGCATTTAAGTTGTAGAATGAATGAATTCACGTGTTTGTTATGAATGAAAATATAGTTACGTCACAACGTGACCTAATTGAGAGGTCATCGGTTATCCAATCAAATCGTTAGAATCTCAGGTCAAGTCGTTACGACACAGGTCAACACGATACGACACTCGTGTGACGTACGGGATTAGTATGCACCTACCCATACGTTGACCACGTGGGTAATAAAGCGTTTTATTACCCACGTGGTCGAATAGATACCAATCTTCTACGTCACGTGTCAACTCGCGATGACATGACGACAATATGACTAACGATTGATTGACGATGACCTCTCAAGAATTATATTTTCATTCATAACTAAACACGTGAATCATTCATTCTAACAACTTAAATACCATTGATGAATGTAAGCATCGTGATACATTATATCCGTCCGGTCGTTAAGGTATGATCGGTCCAATGACGTCATTTTGCAGCGACGTCATGCAATTTACTGATAATGGGAAAGTTTGAAACCAAAATATTAACAAAAATACGCTATTTTCATCATTAATTAGCGTGGTAATAATATAATACACTCGCAGTACTTATACGAAACTCGGACCTTCCTATGTTATCTGGCCTCGCTTTCGTCGGTCAGATAAATAGGAAGGACACTCGTTTCGTTATACTCTATATACTTACTTAAACTACATAATGACTACATTCATTGTCTTGTTTTTTCTTTGCTTACTTTAAACATATGATCAGAAACATTGTTTGATGAAACGGTCACAAAATTGAAACGTTGCACATGAAAATAATGGCAATGTGTCAACCATTGTCATATAACACAACAGTGCACATTAAGTGGGTACTTCTTCATCAAAGTGAGTGTATTTGGAAAACAGACTTCCTGTAATAAGAAATAACGTTGACACATGAAAATATATCAAAAGAAGACAATATATCCAAAATAGAACTATACAGTACAATACATTATGCAGAAAGTATAAGGGTTTCTCGGGGTTTCTATGGGGTGTGTTTTTATCCTGCAAAGGGGGATCCTGAGGGGAGTGATTTGATCCTAGGATGAAATCACTCTGGAGTGACTTGGTCCTGGAGATTATTCCTACCTCAGCAGTATTCTACCACATTAGATTTGTATAGTGTTATATCAAAATTGAACACCCTCGGAGATGCAGTGTTAAGATAAGTTTCCCTTCGTCAGGCTAGGTGACTTGGCTAGCTGTTTGACCGTTGTTGTCAGTCACCAGATTGTCTTGTCCAAAAGCGAATATTTATGAGGCTGGAATAGTGGTAGATTAAACATATAAACAAACACACAAACAGTGTTGATTTGTATTAGTGTTACAGTATCAATGAATATTAGACTAATAAGTAACTTTCTGTAATGATAACGACTCACATGAAGGGTGTGCTTCAGGTCATTGAGACCTTCCTTGTAGACGGGCACTCCACCACTGTTGGCCAGGAGGACGTAGTAGTCAGACTCATGCTTCAGGATCTTGTCACCAATAGCCAGGTACAACTGTCAAATGAAAATCATAACGTCATATACGAACGCGTTGTCTTTACGTTTGTTTATTGGTACACGCCACGCTCACCAATATTACAGCTAGATGGCGGAGATCTGCAAATAGTCGAGTCTGGGCCAGACAACACTGTGATCAAAAGCATGATCATCAATTGGGATACGATGACATTCGTCAATACGTCAGCGAGCCTGACCACCCGATCCTGTTAGTCGCCTCTTACGACAAGCATGGGCTGCTGAAGACCAGTTCTAACCCGGATCATTACAGCAATTGTCAAGTTATTTTAGGCATTCTCTGGCGCTGACGTTTCAAGGGAAGCATAGTTTATTTCGAATACAGTTCAGGCCCATTGAGACACCATGGCACATTTTTAACACGAATACACAACTCAGTCAATACACTGCCTTGACGAACGTCAAGTACCACATTTTATCGTCTTTTGGTATGATGGGGTCGGGTCGAACCCCCAAACTTCCACTCTTTTAGTCATTGCACCAGTCAATCGGGTGACTGGTGCAAGGACTAGGTTGTGTACATGGGACTGTCATATGGTGTGGACTGACGAGACTGAGTGCTGCTGGTCACTTACATTATACTGTCCAGCTGGGATGGAGGTAGGGATGTTGACTGACGTAGCAACTGTGTGAACTTGGCCTGGTTGCCATTGTCGAACATCCACATTGGAGATTAGACCACCGTAATATTTCGACCTGGGAAAATGCAATGCGTGGATTAGGAGTTTGGTAAGTAATACAGTCATCTCTGTTTTCAGTCTGCCTTTGGTGACTGACATAAATAGCTGGAACCCTCATAAAATTACCAAAGCATACGATTACAATTTCCTGCTTATTACACAGCTTGAAATAATAAAGTTGCAGCATTCAATCAGCAGGCAACCCCACCGTCTCATTTCTGTCACAGTATATATTTAGGTGTTCCTACTTTCATCAATCTGAGGGTGGTAAGGGGTAGACTAGCAGGTAAAGGTTTTGCCCCGGGTCGATTCCCAACATGACTCCAATTGAAGCCCATTTCTGATGTCTCGTTATTACGTGAATAACAGCGACGGAAATAGACACTCAGTAACTCAGTAATATGTTTCCATGGCAACGTATTGTTTATGGAACAGAACATAATTCGTGAACCAATTAAGAGCCCGGTTTCCATTTGAGTATCTGTTATGCTCAACATTATATATATATATTTTTAAGTGGCGATGAAAGATAAAACAAAATAATAGTATTTTTAGAGTCATTGTTTGATGGAAAATGGGGTCATATTAGGAAAGTGTTATTTCAATAGCACTTTCTGACTGCTCCATTGTCCAGTATTATTACAAAGGGTTTGGAAATAGATGCGGGGTCACGTGGTACGAGGTACTTGTACAGAAAGAACACATGGGCGGCACTACATATGCTATTTCATGAAGATAAGTCTTGACTGGTAGTTTGTCATGAAGCCTCAATTTCAACCCTTGTAGATGTATTCCGAACATTGGAATGGTGAATTTGTTAAGCAAGTCCTACTCCATGCATATTCATGCAAACAAAACTTCTTACTTTTCTGGGACATAGTGAGAGAGTGAATGAATGAGTATTGTTTTATGCCAAGTTTAATAATATTCCAAATAATGTCACGGCGGGTAACACCAGAAATTGGTTTTACACATTGTGTATGGAACACAAGTTTTCGGCGTGACGAGCGAACGCTTTAACCACTGGACCATCCACGGTCCTTCAAGAATATAGACTCTGCCCACCTGGACTTGTCAAGCAGGACAAGTGTTACGTCCATCTCTTTGACTGGGGCAGCGAAGCCGTCGTTTGTGACACTTAGATGGATGCAGAAGTCTGCACCTGATTGTACGCTGTCTGGAAGAGTCGCCTGCAGCAGGGATGAGCCAGTATAGCATGAATACTTTAGCAAACTGGATGCGATAAATTATTAGAACATTTCAACCTGATTTCATATAAGTAAACCCCACTTTTACAGCTAGTCTGTATAAATTTAACACAGTATGCGGAAATCAAGACACCAAAGCCTGCAAATATAACAATAATCATAATAATAAGTCCATTTCTATAGCGCCCTATATCCAATCACCAAGTGGTTGCTCATGGCGCTAACTATATACATATTTACAATAGGAGTTCATTTAGATGTCATAGTGCTTCTTGAACAGGAAAGTTTTTAAGTTAGACTGGAAGCTGGCTATTGAGGGGGATTCTTTGAGAAACACGTGCAGATTGGTCCAGAGGATAGCTGACAAGTGGGAAAAACGTCGGTGCCCATATGTCTTCAGACGTGCATTTGGGATGATGAGCAGCGACTGATTGGCTGATCTCAGAGTCCTGGTTGGAACATACTCTCTTTCAAGACTAGAGAGATAGGATGGAGCTGCGTTGTTAAGACATCTGTAAGTCAAGCTAAGTATTTTGTATTCTATCCTAGCTGGGAGTGGTAACCAGTGCAGATGCATATACATCATTATTAACATGCAAATTCAAGGATGTTTTGCCCTTTCTACGTTCATGTTTTCAAAATCATTCGTTCTGGCTACTGGCAAAGATGTCTTTTCTTCATACCCACCCCGTACTTATTACTTATAACACTTCTTGTCCACAGACTGTGATAGAACTAGCTGTGCCAAAGTTTAAAGTTACCCCCTCGCCCCCTTCCTGCCTAATTCCTACCTGAGTTAACCGTACTCTGTAACCAAGCCTTCTGTGAACCTCTTCATAGCAACCTTCTCTCTCCCAGATGGCGTACATATCCTTGTCGAAGCCCTGGTTCAGCCACGTCCAGTGGTATGTCTTCATCTCAGACAGGGCTGTAGGACAGTGGTCTCTGCAGACATATGGTCGCTCTATTGATTTTCATAACTATATTCTTGTGGCAGTAAAATTGTTACAAGTCAACGTTATCGTTACGTGACATGTTTTGTGTTGATACTCAGTCGAGGACAGTGGTATGAAATGCTGTGCATTAGAAGCTTTTGAAGTCAGGATTAATCTGGAAGCCTCCTGAACAACATAGATTGATCCAGCTAGGTAGAATTTCTGGAAACTATTTAATACTGTATCAGGGGAATTCCCCGTCTCTTTCTTCACACATTACATTGAGGCCAGCCATTGTTTTCACCCTGGATATCCAAACTAGGCCTGTGTGAGAAAATATATATTCACAAGTATTATATTTGACCAAATATGTATAAAATGAATATCCTATTTAACACCAATAAGCTAGGACATTTACGAAACTTACAATTATTTACTAAATTAATTATGGCTGTATTCAAGAAATAACCTCAATATGTAATTTGCCCAATGCACATTGTTTCTATCATACCGTTTGTATATATTTTTTATGTTGGATGCTGTGTAAATGTAAATATTGTTTATGTACCTCTTATGCTGCAGTTTGCAGCCTGTGTGAATAAAGTTCAGTTCAGTTCAGTGGTAGCGTGACCGCTGAGTTAATATCATCACTGATTTTAATGCTGTTACCTCTGCTATATGTTATACCGACATTGTATCTGTTGTTATTGAATGTTGTTCTTCCGCTGTATTATGTATTGGCACTATAATTTGAACAGATGTCTAAACATAGTTAATGGTATGATACAATAATTAACATATAACATTTCTTTGTTGTTTGTTGGTTCAAATAGAACCCTTCTATGCAGAGATTTCTTGGTTTAATTATTTTTCAATCACTGTAACATACACAGTTCAGCATGATGGTCTTACAAACATTCTCTTCACACAATCCGCAACATATTCGATTTTTATACTTTCCTTACACAAATACATTATGCCGGTATAAAACTTTTAAAATTCAGCTTTAGTTGTTATAATATGAATTGTCTGTAGTAGACCATGAGTCAATAATTCCTGCCTGTCATTTTTGGTGACTCGGCAAGTTTCTCCACCAACAATAAGATAGCGGGACTCTGCAGCAAGATACGGCCTCTCAACACTTGCATCATGGTAGGTGCCCACGTCGTTGTCGCTTGAGAGGAAGCAATCGTTGTGGTTGCCTGAGGAGGAATATCAACACCAGTTATATATACTATTAAAATGGAACTTTTACGCTCATGACGTAACAGGGAGATCCTCAGCCTTAACTCGCTTAAACTACATGTATATATGCTGTCTCTCTGGCTCCTGTTCAAACTCCAGATACAACTTTGCTGCTACAGTTCCTACTCATTCGGCTTATGATCCCAAAGCTCCTACACGTGAGTCTTATTCAGCTTACTTCATGTTATATTGCGGCGGTCTGTAAATAATCGAGTCTGGACCAGACAGCCCGGTGATCAACAACATGAGCATCGATCTGCGTAAATTATAATACCATGACATCTGTCAGCCAGCCTGTCCACCCGATTCCGTTAGTCACCTCTTACGACAGGCATGGGTTACTGAAGACCGATTCTAACCCGGATCTTCACGGGTATGATCTGATATGATACGACATCGCTGAAAACAGAAACATTTACCCTTTATTGATAATAGTGACATATAATATGTGACAATAGTCTGTTTGATGAAGCTTTACCGACCTATCCTCGCTATGTAAGACTTGGGATTCTTGTTGACATCAGCATATGTGATTGGCTTGGAGGTATGGAACATGGCAATCTTCTGTCCCGGATACCGCAGCTGGACTTGACTGGAATATTCATAACATAATGTGACATACGCAGACTTCTAAATTACATTTTTTAAAGATGAACAATATCTACGGTTGATAGAGGAACCTTCTAGCGCCTCACAGGCAGCTTGGCATATCAGATGTCTTTGTGATGCGGCCTTGAACAACTTCGAGTTGGATACCAGGCGCCATAGGAATCCATTTATGTTTTACAGATTAAATATAGTATGCAGCAGAGAGGGTTCGGGTGATCCTGGCACAGTCAGGCTGGTAAGGCTCATCATCAGCTCAGGGCCCGTGCCTCCTCTACACGCAGCCCAGACAGCGAATGGGACTTCTCCCAGGAACGGCGCGCTGCCTAGTCGAACCCACCAAGAAATTCCGGAGAATATGTAGACTCCCCAACACTGCAGCCATCTGCATTACCCAGAGTGTCTGAAGGGCTGTGCTCCCGGCGGAGAACCCGTACACTCTCCGGATCTGCTTTGTTATTGTTAGCATTACGATTATTTTGCACAGGAAAGGATAGTATTTTGTTACATTGACTGTGGCACAGCATCCAGAAGTGCAGTGAGGACGTTCTTCCTTCCTTGCCACTGCTGGGGTGTGTAGCCATAGCCTGGGTAGAGGTTGAAGTTTCGATGTTCTGGGTCGCCAAAATACGTTGTGTAGTACCACTCACCTGCAGCAAAAATCTATACTAATTCAACAGGGTTATACAATTACATAGGATTTCTTCAGCAATCACCAATAAGATGTTTGGTCCAGGTGAAATTAACTTGCACAACTGACGTGCACACTCCTCACAGGCATCATCTATTGGGTGTATGCTATACATATGTCCTTCGGAGGACCATCTCCGTGGTCAAGCAAGGCTGGTGGGTCGATTTCAGATCCCGTTATATTTTCTTTTTTGTTGTTATTTTTTATTTTGGTATTTTGGGGATTAACCAAGGATTAGTCTGCTCAGGGTCGGTATATTATTTCTTAGTGAGGACCCATGGTATCTCTGTAAGGCACACACACGCCCGCCCGCACGCACTAGCATGCAGACACATGCATGCACCTCGCAACATAAGTGCAGCAATCTTAAACAAGCCAAACATTACGTTAGTCCGCGTTAAACCCACCTCCTCGCAACTGATGACATATTCCCGAACAGATGATACAGTACTCACCCCAGGTACCGATAGTCCACGTTAAACCCACCTCCTCGCAACTGATGACATATTCCCGAAACAGATGATACAGTACTCACCCCAGGTACCGATAGTCCACGTTAAACCCACCTCCTCGCAACTGATGACATATTCCCGAACAGATGATACAGTACTCACCCCAGGTACCGATAGTCCACGTTAAACCCACCTCCTCGCAACTGATGACATATTCCCGAACAGATGATACAGTACTCACCCCAGGTACCGATAGTCCACGTTAAACCCACCTCCTCGCAACTGATGACATATTCCCAAACAGATGATACAGTACTCACCCCAGGTACCGATAGTCCACGTTAAACCCACCTCCTCGCAACTGATGTCATATTCCCGAACAGATGATACAGTACTCACCCCAGGTACCGATAGTCCACGTTAAACCCACCTCCTCGCAACTGATGACATATTCCCGAACAGATGATACAGTACTCACCCCAGGTGTCCCGTTAGATATATCCACGTTAAACCCACCTCCTCGCAACTGATGACATATTCCCGAACAGATGATACAGTACTCACCCCAGGTACCGATAGTACTGATAGTCCACGTTAAACCCACCTCCTCGCAACGCAACTGATGACATATTCCACGAACAACTGATGACATATTCCCGAACAGATGATACAGTACTCACCCCAGGTACCGATAGTCCACGTTAAACCCACCTCCTCGCAACTGATGACATATTCCCGAACAGATGATACAGTACTCGTTAAACCCACCTCCTCGCAACCATATTCCCGAACAGATGATACATTACTCACCCCAGGTACCGATAGTCCACGGCAACTGATGTAATACCGAGTACTCACCCCAGGTACCGATAAAGCCTGCCTCCACTGAAGTAATGACCCCTTCAAACTCATGGAAGATTGGTTTCAGCTGCTGGATGTGCTGCAGGATCTGATGCTCTGTGGCGTCTCCATAAGGAGCATGTGAAGTCTGTACAGTAAGGATTATAATTTCTAAACATCGAAAATGTATTTAATTCTGTCATATTGTATATCTATATTCTGTATATATTGAATAATATCCAAACAATGACAATGCAGTCAATTGTTATAGTCTGTAAGTATCAATATTTTGGCAACGTTAGATTATTTGTCTACAATCACAAAATTAAATATCCTCATCCTATTGTAAATGATAAATATCATAAAGATTCCTTGATCCATTTAAATTTATTTAAAAGTGTTACGTCAATAATGAACTACCAGAACATGTCGATTATTGTTCAAGTAAGAACTTATGTACTGGGACGATGTTTTGCCATGATGGCATTTAGCGCAAAATCGAGTCTGGACCAGACAATCCATTGATCAACAGCATGATCATCGATCAGTTTGGATAAGATGACATGTGTCAACCAAGTCAGCGAGTCTGACCACCCGATTCCGTGCGCCTCTTACGGCAAGCATGGGTTACTGAAGCCCGATTCTAACCCGGATCTTCACGGGTCGTAAGGAGTAATAACTTCACTGAGGTAGCAAAGCTTTGCGTTCCTTCCTTTAATTACGTTTAGCAGCAACTGGGAATGACTTACCTTGTGGAAAGTGTAACAGAATCGGATAACGACTGTCATGCCAGCAGAGTGAAGATTGGTGAGATCTCCTCTGATCTTGTGAAGGAAGTCAGAGCTGATGGCTGAAGTTCTAAACGTGTCCAAGATGTATGTCCGCCATACCATCGTCATACCCGTCTTCTGCCGCTCACCCTCCAGGTGGGAAACCTGACAATGACGAAATATCGGTGATTAAAACTCAAGCAATGTGACATTTAAGCAGCTAAAAAAATTAATATTAATGAATTATGATACTCAAGCATTGTCAGAAAAAATAAAACAAATGCAGAATGTGTACATGTACGTAAAAATAGAAAAGGTACAATAGTACTGAGAAAACTACCGTCATTGTCTTTATTTCCAGTCAAATAACGCTCCAGATGCCATTGGGCAAAAACGTGGACTGTTTAACAAGTCTCTAGTTGTCATGTCCTCACAATGGCACGCAGTAAGTTGTAACACTGTACAGCTTTAGTGCATTTTATAATAGCTTTCCAAAATAATTTTGGACACCATAGGGCAGTAAGAAAATCCCACCTTTGAGGTAGTTTAGTTTTACGCCGCTTTTAGCATTATCCCGGCAATATCACGGCGGGGAACACCAGGACTTCACACATTGTACCCATGTGGGGAATCGAACCCGGGTCGTCAGCGTGACGAGCAAACGCTTTAACCACTAGGCTACCCCACCGCCCTTCCCATCTTTGAAAAAACCTAAATACGTATTCTAAAGGTGTCAGCTGTTAATACAGAGTCTGAAAATTGGGAGAATTTGCTAAATCTATCCCGTGAAGTCTGTGGTAAATTCCGCTATGTTAGCAAAACAAACATTTTAACCTCGAAATATCTTGATTCCTACTTTAAATAACAGATTTAATTCTATAAATCCTTACATTTTTATTTCTCTTCTCTTTACTGGAGGACACTAACAGTCTGAATCTTATAACTTTATAAGACCTGCTCTGTTCTGAATCTATCTATCGTATACACAGGCTAGACTGTCGGATATATTCAGCCGAGATAAGACCTGGTCTGTTCTGAATCTATCTATCGTATACACAGGCTAGACTCTCGGATATATTCAGCAGAGATAAGACCTGGTCTGTTCTGAATCTATCTATCGTATACACAGTCTAGACTCTCGGATATATTCAGCAGAGAAAAGACCTGGTCTGTTCTGAATCTATCTATCGTATACACAGACTAGACTCTCGGATATATTCAGCAGAGATAAGACCTGGTCTGTTCTGAGATCTATCTATCGTAAGATAAAACAGACTAGACTCTCTCTCGGATATATTCAGCAGAATAAGACCTGGTCTGTTCTGAATCTATCTATCGTATACACAGACTAGACTCTCGGATATATTCAGCAGAGATAAGACCTGGTCTGTTCTGACTAGAATCTATCTATCGTATACACAGACTAGACTCTCGGATATATTCAGCAGAGATAAGACCTGGTCTGTTCTGAATCTATCTATCGTATACACAGACTAGACTCTCGGATATATTCAGCAGAGATAAGACCTGGTCTGTTCTGAATCTATCTATCGTATACACAGTCTAGACTGTCGGATATATTCAGCAGAGATAAGACCTGGTCTGTTCTGAATCTATCTATCGTATACACAGTCTAGACTGTCGGATATATTCAGCAGAGATAAGACCTGGTCTGTTCTGAATCTATCTATCGTATACACAGTCTAGACTGTCGGATATATTCAGCAGAGATAAGACCTGGTCTGTTCTGAATCTATCTATCGTATACACAGTCTAGACTGTCGGATATATTCAGCAGAGATAAGACCTGGTCTGTTCTGAATCTATCTATCGTATACACAGTCTAGACTGTCGGATATATTCAGCAGAGATAAGACCTGGTCTGTTCTGAATCTATCTATCGTATACACAGGCTAGACTGTCGGATATATTCAGCAGAGGGGGCTTTATGGACGCATCTGGAACATGGAACAATGTTTGAAGTTTAGTTAAATAAATTCTACTTCCTTCCTGGTAGTCACACACCACATAATTCATTATAAATAAAGTATACAATATATCGGTCACAAACCTACCCCTCCAGACCACCAAACACTGTATCTCACAAGTTCGATCTGTACCTCCGAATTATTGATACATCTAGCGGTTCCACCAAAATATCACATAATATAAGTATTGGAGGAGGGATATTTTAATCATAACACATGTAGATATGTATAAATATTATGTTAACCCTTCACCTCTCCCGGTGACAAAGTTAGCTGCGTTTGGTCTATGGCCTGTCTACAAGTGACCCTAGTGATCTGAATTGGGGTACAAATACCCGGTACTTCAGCGCCAATTCAAAGTTTCTGTATACCCAAAATTTGAAAATATACTCATGCCAATAATGGTTGTCACCCCCTTCAATTTGTTTAATTGGAGAGGGGGTGTGGGTGTGACAATGGGGGTTGGGGTGGGAGGGGGTATAGATACAGCAGCACAGGAGCACTGTACTGACAATGGCACAACGTAAATACACCTGTCAACAACAAATAAAGTTATTATTAGATGTTAACTGTAAATGTTCATCTCATAAATGAACATGATGTGTACCTTTGATAAAGACGCAATGGTTAGAGACTATTTCTCAAGACTTTGAAGTTGGGCATTTCATTTTAGCTATCAAACAGTCCTTGCACTGATTTCAGAAAACTATATTGTATCCATAATGGTTAAATATGGAAGTAAAAGAGAAACTACTACTGATGATGAAATGTCTGAGAAAAAGTTGTAACACACCGTCCTGCACATGAGCTCATTTATGTTTATAGTGGTTCTGGATTGCTGTACTTTCACACTTCACCAGAACAATGAGTGAGTGAGTGAGTATTGCTGAACGCCACATCGGCAATTTTGCAGCAATTCGCGGCGACCAGAACATTGACACACTTGACCTGAAACCTACATGACTAGGATGTATATTTGAACATCAATGATGACAGTAGTGTACATACTGTGAGTTGGTTAAATTTGGAGGCAGTGCCGAATTCCTGGTTGACAAAGCCTCGGCCCGGGTTCTCGAGATGGTCTGTACTGCTACTATAGGTGTGTCGCCTGTAAGCAGATAGTAATAACTTGCAACATCCGTCATTGTGTAAATGTGTAATATAAAGTTTATCGGAGCCATAGTTGGGAAAGGATATTTCGCATTATGTTTAGTTATGGATAATCTAATAACGTGAATATTTTAATGTAAAATTTCTAATTATTCGATTACATAAATAATAGTATGCATTTCACTCTTTTGTATAACAGTCTCTGCCATTTATGAATCTTTGAGCTCCACAACATGCATTCATCCATTCGTCGTATATGACACAAAATTATATACATAAAAGATTGAGTCCAGCACAAATATATCTGGACTATGTTTTATATAGTTATTGCTTATGCACCTGACATCTGATATATACTGCTCAACGTGTTGTAAAATGTATATGTGTGTGTTGTGTTGTGGTGTGTGTGTGTCTGTGTGTGTGTGTGTGTGTGTGTGGCCTTATCACACGTTGATCAGTATATATCAGATGTAAGGTTGCTCGTATTTGTAACATACACATACACATAAAAAAAAACACATACCGTCCACTTGTGCTGGAGCAAGATATACATGCAGACTCACCTGCAAAGACGAGATCATGTAACAGATCATACCACAGATACCTTCCTATACCACACGACCGATAACTGGCAGTGTCATAGATACGGACATTTACAATCATTGTCACGTGGTACATTGTCACCGTTATTTCGTTATTACATTTAACAACCTGTTACTGATTCACCTGTATACACATAATAATGTTCATGACCTGGTTGGTCAGAATTACTTGAATATATCCATGAGGAGTTGTACTGATCAACGCGGCGTAGCAAACGTATTACTGTTTCCCTGTCTGTCTGGGTTCCGATCCACAAAGACTTCGTAACTTTACGACCTTTCGTAATTCAATAATTTATCATAGGTCTACGAATGCCGTAGATCTACGAACACTTTGTGGATCGGGACCCTGAACATTCATCTTAGTGTTATTTCTTGCCGAAGAAGTAGTATTAGCCTTACCATTGTGCCATAGAAGCACCACCGTCAGGACAAACACTGCCCACCCAGACATGTTCGAGTTTTCAAGAACAATGACTTGTGCCTTGAGAAGTACCAGGTGCGAGGTTCTCAGTTCATGGTCAGAATCTTTATCTGTGTGCTCTTTGATCGTTATACTAACAGATCTGAGTGGAAACCATACATGTGTACAAAAAAAAAACCTTACACAATTCTGGGTGCTAAAGTCCAAAAGTTAAAACAGTTCTTGGTCAATATTTGCATAAAGAAGCATACCCTCCCTGTTCCAATGCATTGAAAATATATGTGCAACACATCAGTTTTAATTCAAATTTAATTAGAGTAGCCTTGTGATTAAAGTGCTCTCTCGTCACATCCAAGACCAAAGTTCGATTCCTCACAAGGGTACAATGTGTGAAGCCCATTTCTAATGTCCCCCGCCGTGACATTGCTGGAATATTGCTGAAAGCGGCGTAAAACCTTTTTCACTCGCCATTCACCAATTATTCAAATGCTATCCTGTAAATGAATAGTACATTGACGCATTCATGTTAAACATAAGCTTATGGGTATTCCGGGCTAGAAGTCGTCACAAGCCATCTATTCTGCTCAAGCATTATCTCTATGTTGTAAGAAACGTATTGGACCGGCTGGTCACTCTCGGTTACTCGGTTGATATCTTGTCATTAATTGTTGTTCATAATATCAATCACTGGATTGTCGGCTTCAGACCTGATTATTTACAGTCAGTCTAGAGTACGACGTTGAACAATGAAGTAAATAAAACAAACAAAACTAAACAACCCCAAAACGTGCAAAATCTAAGGTCATTATCCAACTGCCAACCTTCAGACAATATAGCTACCCGGTAGTTAGTAATGGACGAAAAGAGTGAGTGAGTATGGTTTTAGGCCGCTTTTAGCAATATTCCAGCAATATTCATGCGGGGGACACCACAAGTGGGCTTCACACATTGTACCTATGTGGGGAACCAAACCCGGGTCTTCGGCGTGACGAGCGAACGCTTTAACCTCTAGGCTACCCCACCGTATTCCACGATACGATAAAATATTTGTGACAGTCCTAATCAAAATAAGCGACCAAGTACTGTTCTGTGGGTAGGAGGTCGCGGATTACCGCAATATGGAAGTCTGACAACTGGTTCATACTCGGCCTACACAGTTCAATAAAACGGAAGCGAACGTACAATCTCCTCGTTCACCGTGGCGCGCACAAAGGTGTATTCATTGTTTGTTTACTGTCATTATATACAATGCATGAATATGGAATATGACACAATATGAAAACAATATGTCGTGATGAACTCTGTCTTATAGATATCAGTTCAACATGAGATGTGCGTGTGTGTGTGCGCTAGCGCGTGCGTGCGTGCGTGTGTATATAAGTGTGTGTTGATTCCCATCCGAGATTGGAACCCACACTCTCAGACCTAATCGCCAGAATACAAAGTCAGCGATCTAGCCAGCTAAGCCATCGTATATTCTTGGCTTCGGCAATGGGAGCCTTGCCAATTTATGCTTGGCACAAATTAAGTCATTCCGACTACCAGGGGTCACATTCCCATTTTTGTGGAAACCCAGAATCTGTACTTCACTGAGAGAGTGTAATCCAAAATGCATCTGACCACATGTGAACTGATATAAAAATGCTACTGCTATTTCCATTCTGTCCAGATGGTGGTGGTTGGGATGTTGACAGTGAGTGAGTGAGTGAGCTTGGTTTTACGCCGCTTTTAGCAATATTACAGCAATATCACGGCGGGGGAAATCACAAATGGGCTTCACACATTGTACCCATGTGGGGAATCGAACCCAGGTCTTCTGCATGACGAGCGATCGCTTTAACCACTAGGCTAACATTATTTGAATATGAAAAATATAACATTTTTGTAGTACCAGCTTCAGCTTGAATATTGCCGTGTCCTCCTCGTCTTGCCCTACACTCCATTTTTTTGTTGTACCAGCTTGGGATACCGTGGGTCTGTCACTGTCTGTCAGTGAGTGAGTGAGTATGGTTTTACGCCGCTTTTAGCAATATTGCAGTAATATCACGGCGGGAGAGACCAGAAATGGGCTTCACACATTGTACCTATGTGGGCAATCGAAACCGGGTCTTCAGCGTGACGAGAAGACGCTTTAACCACTAGGCTACCCCACCGCCTCTCTTTCATGGTGACAGAAAGCGATCGTTAGTGCTAAAGATAAAAGCAGAGGTCAGTCCCAATCTGGACTCTGTCTGGGACGATGTTGTTATGATGATGTAAGACACCAAACTATCTGCATATTTCCTGTTTGTCATCATTAGGAAATATGTCATCAACATTTCCATTGTCTCTTGAAAGTAGGGTATGATTACAATAGGCATTCAAAACTCGTTTATCGTCGTGAAAGTATGTAAGATTCAAGAGCACAACTGGCTGACCATTCCTAATCTGACTCATCAGGAGCCAACAATTTCATATGAAGCATTGAAGCTAGAAAAGTATTTCGTGAATCATGGTTACATGTTGTCCTGAGCGCTCACAAGTCACAAATCACTTGCTATGAATCATCGTTGGTCGCATTCGTGACCAGCTCGTGTTATTCCGGGACAAGTCGCTTCTTGGAGGTTGGTGGAGAAAGGTGACGAATGTGTTGGTCGTGAAGAATGGTTGGATTGATCAACGAGTTTGGCAGATTGACTCCCAAGAGGTTCCAGGACATCGACATTACCCCATTGAAGCACATGTAGCATTTGTGGTGACTTTGTGCATCAATGCCCGTGTTAACTCAGCAGTGAATGGGTACCTGGAAGGTTGAGATGGTATGTCAATCATAACCCTGTTACACCTCACAGGAGCTTAGTTTTGTATACCCTCGCAGGGGGCTGGGAACGAAATTCAAGTGCACACTGATGCTTTTACAGTCAAGTAGAAATTTACGTCATATTTATTTAACCAAGACATTTGTGATAAAAAACAAATTGTGGCACAAAATCAAACTCCAGTGTCTCCTGGTTGTGTGTACAAAACCCAATTAAATTCAATATGGCCGACATCGGTAAAATAATTATTTTAAATTTTGATGAAAGTAGGCTTATGTAGAAACATTGTAACGTCAGCTGGATTGAACATTCTAAATGTTGTGTATTGAACATTGTAATTGTTGTACAGAGGTGCATGTGACCGTCAGTTGTATCGAACATTGTAAATGTTTATTGTGGTGCATGTGACGTCAGCTGTATCGAACATTGTAAATGTTGTACAGAGGTGCATGTGGCGTCAACTGTATTAAAACATTGTAAATGTTGTACAGTGGTGCATGTGACCGTCAGTTGTATCGAACATTGTAAATGTTTATTGTGGTGCATGTGACGTCAGCTGTATCGAACATTGTAAATGTTGTACAGTGATGCATGTGACGTCAGCTGTATCGAACACTGTAAATGTTGTGTATTGAACATTGTAAATGTTGTATTGTGGTGCATGTAACGTCAGCTGTATTGAACATTCTAAATGTTTTGTATTGGACATTGTAAATGTTGTATTGTGGTGCATGTAACGTCAGCTGGATTGAACATTGTAAATGTTGTGTATTGAACATTGTAAATGTTGTATTGTGGTGCATGTAACGTCAGCTGTATTGAACATTCTAAATGTTGTGTATTGAACATTGTAAATGCTGTGTAGTGGTACATGTGACGTCAGCTGTATTGAACATTCTAATTGTTGTGTATTGAACATTGTAAATGCTGTGTAGTGGTACATGTGACGTCAGCTGTATTGAGCATTGTAAATGTTGTATAGTGGTGCATGTGACGTCAGCTGTATTGAACATTCTAAATGTTTTATAGTGGTGTATGTGACGTCAGCAGTATTGAACATTGTAAATGTGGTATAGTGGTGTGTGTGACGTCAGCAGTATTGAACATTGTAAATGTTGTGTATTGAACATTGTAAATGTTGTGTAGTGGTACATGTGACGTCAGCTGTATTGAACATTCTATATATTGTGTATTGAACATGGTAAATGTTGTATTGTGGTGCATGTTACGTCAGCAGTATTGAACACTGTAAATGTTGTATAGTGGTACAGGTGACGTCAGCAGTATTGAACATTGTAAATGTGGTATAGTGGTGTGTGTGTGACATCAGCTGCATTGAACATTGTGAATATTCTATAGTGGTGCATGTGGCGTCGGCTGTATTTAACATTGTAAATGTTCTATAGTGGTGCATGTGACGTCAGTTGTATTGAACATTGTAAATGTGGTATAGTGGTGTGTGTGACATCAGCAGTATTGAACATTGTAAATGTGGTATAGTGGTGCATGTGACGTCAGCTGTATTGAACATTGTAAATGTGGAATAGTGGTGCATGTGACGTCGGCTGTATTTAACATTGTAAATGTTGTATAGTGGTGTGTGTGACATCAGCTGTATTGAACATTGTAAATGAGGTATAGTGGTGCATGTGACGTCAGCTGTATAGGACATTGTAAATGTGGTATAGTGGTGCATGTGACGTCGGCTGTATTTAACATTGTAAATGTTGTATAGTGGTACATGTGACGTCAGCTGTATTTAACATTGTAAATGTGGTATAGCGATGTATGTGACGTCAGCAGTATTGAACATGGTAAATGTGGTATAGTGGTGCATGTGACGTCAGCTGTATTGAACATTGTAAATGTTGTATAGTGGTGTGTGTGACGTCAGCAGTATTGAACATTGTAAATGTTCTATAGTGGTGCATGTGACGTCAGCTGTATTGAACATTGTAAATGTGGTATAGTGGTGTGTGTGACGTCAGCAGTATTGAACATTGTAAATGAGGTATAGTGGTGCATGTGACATCAGCTGTATTGAACATTGTAAATGTTCTATAGTGGTGCATGTGACGTCAGCTGTATTGAACATTGTAAATGAGGTATAGTGGCGCATGTGACGTCAGCTGTATTGAACATTGTAAATGTTGTACATCGGTACATGTGACGTCTGCTGTATTGAACGTTGTAGATGTTGTATAGTGGTGCATGTGACGTCAGCTGTATTGAACATTCTAAAGGTTGTATAGTGATGTATGTGACGTCAGCAGTATCGAACATTGTAAATGTTTTGTAGTGGAGAATGTGACGTTGGATGTGTTGAACATTCTAAATGTGGTATAGTGGTGCGTACGGCGCCACGTGTATCGATAAAGCTAAGGTGTGTGTGCACTACAGTTTTGAAGTGACGTGACATGTATCAAGTATGGTATATGTATATACAATTGAACTAATAACGTCTCATGTATTGGGTATAATGTATGCACTACACTATTGCATGAAAAGTCACTTGTATTATATATAAAATGGATAGCATTCATTACGAGGTCTGTTCACTGCATAGCACGTGTTGGGGAAAACGTTTTGCTGCTTGCATTAACTCGAATATAGAAATGTTCAAATAAGCAAATCTTGATATTTTTTTACACATACAAAAGATTTACGGTTTGCGTTTAGTTATCAAAGCTATATTGAGAATTAAATGTTTAACATGCTTACCACAGCCTGAGAATAATGGATACATACTATTAGGCCCTACACATAGGCACATGTGAGCCAACCCCTGTCTACAGATTTACATGTATTGTATGCGTATGGAAGGGCATGAAAGCAAATATCACCTGTGAACCTGCACATGCCATGCCTTATTCAGGTAAATAGTAATTAACAGGTACGATGTTAACACTGCACAAGGTGCGACTTTATTGGCTGGGTATATGCCAATTGTGTACCTCGTATAACTTAACTCACACAGTAAGTGTATATATATTGTACACTGTTCTCACTTCAGACACGATACACAGTTACACACATAAAACCTGTCAACAGCTATTTACTTCCTGCATACAGGGCCCGTGAGTTATGCTCCACTTGTAATGTAGTCAGCTCAGCCGTTCTTTCCCCTTGATCACTTTTATATTTTGACTGACTGACCGACCGACTGAGTTTGGTTTTACGCCGCTTTTAGCAATATTCCAGCAACATCACGGCGGGGGACACCAGAAATGGGCTTCACACATTGTACCCATGTGGGGATTCGAACCCAGGGCTTCGGCGTATATAGTTACGTCTTTGTAACATAAAAGCCTTGAAGAAATGGAATACATCGGGAACCAATGCTGTTCCTGTCACGTTCATACAGACTTATAACGCTGCATTATGTTTGGGTGGAGGGCATATGTATATCTAGTTATGATATGTAGATGTGAAGCAGTAGGCCGAGCTGGGCCACCTACTTCCTGGTGTATTTCACTTCCGGGTCTGTGTTGTAATAAAAGCCATTCTGTCCGGAACCCCTCCTTGTATCCAATTGCTCACATGTGTGTGACGTCGCGTGTAATTCGACAAGCGCCCAAAATAACGACACTCCTTGCCAAAACTGCTAGGAAACACACTCACCAGCTTGTAAAAGACCCAGCTGCAGCTCAGCAATTAACAAACCTAAGAGCTACTATAGGGAAAATGTTGAGAAGACTTAAGCAGTCAGTGTGCGGTGTGAATTCGCAGTTCCAGATAACAATATATGTGTGTGTGTGTACGCATGTGTGTACGTGCGTATGTACGTATTATATGTATGTATGTATGCATGCATGTATACTGTGCATGTATAATATGTATGTACATGTGTGTGTATGTATGTATGTATGTATGTATGTATGTATGTATCTATGTGTGTATCGCATGTATGTATGTATGTATGTATGTATGTATGTATGTATGTATGTATGTATGTGTGTATATATGTATGTATGTGTATGTATGTATGTATGTATGTATGTATGTGTATGTATGTATGTATGTATGTATGTATGTATGTATGTATGTATGTATGTATGTATGTATGTATGTATGTATGTATGTATGTATGTATGTATCGCATGTATGTATGTGTGTGCATGTATGTATGTGTGTGTGTATGTATGTATGTGTGTATCGCATGTATGTATGTATGTATGTGTATGTATGTATGTATGTATGTATGTATGTATGTATGTATGTATGTATGTATGTATGTATGTGTGTGTATGTATGTATGTATGTATGTATGTATGTATGTATGTATGTATGTATGTATGTATGTATGTATGTATGTATGTATGTATGTATGTGTGTATGTATGTATGTATGTATGTGTGTATCGCATGTATGTATGTATGTATATGTATGTATGTATGTATGTATGTGTGTATATGTATGTATGTGTGTATCGCATGTATGTATGTATGTATGTATGTATGTATGTATGTATGTATGTGTATCGCATGTATGTATGTATGTATGTATGTATGTGTGTGTGTCTATGTATGTATGTGTGTATCGCATGTATGTATGTATCGTATGTATGTATGTATGTATGTATGTATGTATGTATGTATGTATGTATGTATCGCATGTATGTATGTATGTGTGTGTGTGTGTATCGCATGTATGTATGTATATGTGTGTGTGTATCGCATGTATGTATGTATGTATGTGTGTATCGCATGTATGTATGTATGCATGCATGCATGCATGCATGTATGTGTGTGTATCGCATGTATGTATGTATGTGTGTGTGTGTATCGCATGTATGTATGTGTGTATCACATTTATGAATGTATGTATGTATGTGTATGTATGTATGTATGTATGTATGTATGTATGTATGTATGTATGTATGTATGTATGTATGTATGTATGTATGTATGTATATGTGTGTATCGCATGTATGTGTGCATGTGCACGCAAACATATACAAATACCAACATGCTTACACAGTCAGAGTCAGACAGAAACACAGTCAGACAGTCAGACAGACAGACAGACAATAAGTAATACATCTGTGTGACCCATTCCTGGATCCTCTTGTGAAATATTGGTGATGAAGTAGGGTGTATGAAGGATGTACTTGTCAATACAACTGTTGCTTTTCCGAGCAACTGATTTAGTGACGTGATGCAGGTAGATATTGTATCATGTAACACAGTTTTTTGTATGAAATCACGCCTCAACCAGCTACTAACGCCCACATGTACAGTAATAGGAACACATTTGTACAATTGTCCAAGCCACTTTATCTAATACTGTTCCTCGTATGATATCTTATTTCTCATTATAAATGTATTGACACTCGTGGCAGTATGGCTGAAATATTACCGATGTGGCGTTAAATATTAACTCACTCACTCCCTCGTGTATGGTAGCAGTAATTGAGTGATTTCTTTACTGATATACAAATAATTGATACGGTGAAAAATACGAAATGCTGCCGTTAATCTGTATTGTTTTAACAAAAAAAGATTTTTATCATCTATATTGTGACATCCTTACTTGATCTTGTGATGTCATAAAATAAGGAATTAACTTTTAAATGGCACCTATTATGGCAGAAAAATCCGAAACCATCGTTTGAACTTGTATGCCACTGCACCCAAGATTTGGTACGGGTTATAAGCACGTGATATTAATGCCAACGTAAGGGCGGTGGGGTAGCCCAGTGGTTAAAGCGTTCGCACGTCACGCCGAAGACCCGGGTTCGACTCCCCACATGGGTACAATGTGTGAAGCGCGGGGATTTCTGGTATCCCGCCATTATATTGCTGGAATACTGCTAAAATAATGCCAACGTCATCAGAATACGGCCATAGTAATTGAAACGACTCCCGGTTATTAAAACACCTAACTTACAAACAGGCTCGTCTAGAGTTTAAAGTGCGCTGTGTTGACGCATGCATGGGTCTACTGATCTAGCTTACACTGGCTTAACAATGGTGGATCGTTGATAGATAAAGGTTTGTTTGTACACAGGTACCAGTTAACAGGGGGTCTCTGTATATGCCCTGAATAAATTCACATCGACAGAAAAAAATCCAATAAAATATTCTTGTGGTGTTACATTAAAATGACAATTAAATTACCCATATGCAACTTCTTGTTTGTGCATGAGAATCATGAAGCGGTCATTAAATTGAGCCTATTGTCAAGTTTTCCCTTTATACTTGTTCCTTGATAGGTGTATTTGTATTTCGAAGAGGGAAAAGCGTGACGTTTAGTCAGCATTCTGTGTACAACAACTGCAACGTCGACAAGGAAGTAAAACCCAGTACATCGAGACGATCTGTCAGAAAGGTTTTCTTAAGATAACCCATTCGTTGAGCACGGCAGTTGTCTCCCTTCCTAAGGTCGGTAAACTCTGTATCCCACTCATATCGTTCCTTTAATCAGAGACCATAGTCTCTGTTGTAATTTAAATAACATCGACTGTACATAATTAACTAGTTCTTTCGTAGACATATTTTTAAGTGTGTGCAAAATTATAATATATGAATTTATGAGTACTGCACTGCACGATATCTACAAAAAAAAGTAGCCACTTTTTACTGTAGGGCTAGGTTTTCCTTCAAAACGATTTTTTTTCACTTTTTTAAAATGCTGTTTTAGTTAACTACACAAAAATGCTTTCCCGTATCTTCATTGTTAATTTGATGTGATTAAAAGTTTAAGTATATTCTCCAGCCCTGGTGTATGTCCTCCCTCTCCACCCGTAACGACTTATTTAGGTCCACTGACAGTCAGTTACCTCCCTTGGTAGACAGGGGGCGTTGTTTCCGAGCATGGCGGACGAAGTTTATTCTTCCTGTTTGGTTAAATTTGTTTATTGACACTTTAGTAAGGATATTTTTGGTAAGTGAAACCCGTCATGACACTTCTTAGACATTTTGCTTCGTGGTAATTGGTCTGAATTCGTCATAAGCTTTTTCTTTCATTCTTTTGTCTGTAAAAATAACAGAAATATTCGCAGAATTTGACCGGTCGCATTTAATTATTTGTGTGTCAGAGTGAGCTGGCGTGATTAATCACACTTATTTGGGGATGACGAGGATAAGACAGCATATCCTTGAATTGACAGTTGGGTTAGTTTTTCCTATTCTACCATATTTGAATACTTGTGGTAACCAACCTGACATGTTGCTCACGACATCCGTGTGTGGTTCGAGAAACAAATGAAAGTGATCAACAGTAAGGTGATCAATATTAAGACTTTGACACTGCATGATACCTTGACAGGATGTTTAATATATAATGTAGACGTTTTGCAGACATTTTATTTACTAGTCGTACCATGTTGAAGTAGTACTCCTCATACAAACATGTTTCAGCTTACAAATGTAAAGGTTATATTGATCATTTTGAACTGTTAATGTGTTATACTTGTATTGAGGGGTTTTGGACACTTATGAAACATTTGTTACTATTCTTATCACATGGACGATTATAAAACATCTCACTGACTTATGATTCCTTGTGAAACATAACTTTATCCTAAATTCAAGAATTTACAATAGCTGTGTCACACAACACCCCTTGTTATAGCCCTAGTTAGCACTGCCACATGAACAGATGATAACCTAAGATCCAGCAATATAACCTTTACTGCACTAGCATAGTTAGACTAAGGCTTAGTCTCTGAATATATATAATTTTGATAGTAACAAACAAGCCCATGTATATTGAAAAGGAGCCCTAGGGAGACCAGAGATTCAGAACCTGAGGAAATCTAGACTTGCTTTATTTAGGGCTTTAGCACTGCAGAGGAGGCTTGGCAGTAGGGGGAAAATAATGTGGTTCAGGGACTGTGAGACAGACTATAGCATAGTTTATAGGGCAGCGCAATATAACCGGTTTACCGGTATTTATCGGTTCAGACATGAAAATGATACATATTGCGATAAGCTGATCGAAAACCAGTATTTTGACTTGCATTTGGAAAACTTCATAACACTCGGAAATCTTCGGATATTTCCTTGTTTCATTTGTGCCAAATATTATTTACAGTTTTATTTTGTCATGATTAAAAGTTTTTATTAAAGCTTAATCAAGCATAGTGATTTTGTTGTGTTCATGCTTTATGAATCAAGCATTAACTCCATTATTTACATAGGTTTTTGTTTAAAATACATATCGCAATCTATGCTTTCGCATCGCAATATATCGCAATATGAAAATTCTCTGCAATACCAACCCCTAATAGTTTATCATCTTAATGTTTAGGTCATTACTTTTTTCAGTTATTGTATGGTCTAAAAAATGTCAGATGTATGCCAGTCTTGGGTATGTTATTTGTCAATGTAGTCACAAATAATCATGATTATGAGTAAAGTACACCAACTATATCTTTACTAATTGTATGTTTCTACATTTTATAAAATCCCAACCCAATTATGACTACTGAGCCAGTTATGACTATGATTTCATGTAATCTTATGAAAGTAGCAGTAAATGCAATGTTGTAATTAGTAACAAATGTTTATATCATTTTGTCAACTGCCAACTGTTGCAAACAAAGATTCATAAACTAATCAACACATTGCACAGTCATTACCATGATAACACCAGGGCTCCAGATAAGAGCTGTATCGGTGTATGTACGGATAAAGAATATGCATGATACGGTAGGAAATAATTTAGAAAACGTAGCACATACGCACCACAGCAATGCTGTACGGTCTTGGAATCATTTACAGACGTATTTATCTGAAAGAGTGTTGTTTTATTGTTTATTGTCCTGTTTACACAAGAGTAGCAATGTTGTGGTGCATATATGAAACCAAACACAGGATTACTGATACGCCATTAAATTCCATTCAGTACTCAAAATGTACTCTTAAGTTTTTCCGGTACTCCTATATTGAAAAAATAAGGAGTACGTACTCCTGATGTTGAAAAATTATCTGGTATCTGGAGCCCTGTAACACTATCTATCCTGATGTGCTATCAGCTGGCTGTGGTGTTATGATACAATGAACAGTAAGGTTATGTTATTCCAGCATGTATGTTTTGAAAGAAACAGAGAAATTTTGAGAAATGACTAAACAGCTGAAGTATACAATATGTGCTTCAATTGAAGCAGGTATATTGCCTCAAGAATAGCGGGATTACATCAACACCAACCACACACCCAAAGCCTGAAATTGTCTGCCAACCCTCAGGAAAGTTTTAACAACAGAAAACTGACTTAGGCCAGCACCAATTTGCATTACTATTATGTATAGGTAATGTCAGTTTATTCACAGGAAATAGTTGTAGAACTACACTTTGTTTCTTTCCTCAAAATGTGCATGTGTTTCGGCCAGATGATTATGTTGTGTTGTGTTTATATTTTCTCTTGATATTTAGAGAGATTTTTCTTTGCTCTGAAGAGAAGCAGAAGTCTAAGAAGTTTTGATCAAGTGTGCCTTTTAATGCTTTTAAGATAATATTTTATGCTTAACATCTTGAGCATGCTAAAGTAAAACCGTTGAAGATTGTGATCCTCAAGAACCTGAAATGGGTTGGTGAAATCACAAGCATGATCAATGTAGCTTGTACGCTTGTCCTGAGAAAATGTTACCGTATATGACCGTCGATAAGACGACCCCCATACTTGACCCTTAAAATCAGTGTCAAAATGGTATGTTTCGTGCATAAGTCGATCCCCCGCGATGGGGTCCTAATTGCGGCAAACACAGACCACAGACAACTGGCAGTTACCAATAATTATAACTTTGGTCCACATTATTCAAAGAATTCACAGTCATATATATTGTGTCTACTCACGGATCGAAACGAAGTGTAGTTGACAGAAAATGCATAATATATTTTGCTTCTCTAAATATCATATTTATTGTAGCAACAAACTGGCTTGCTTATTTTACCCCATTCAACAATCACGAACTGATTACCGCCTCGTTTTCCATTGACTGCTAGTTTACAGTAACATCGGTAAAAATGTGTGAATGTAAATGGCTTCCGTATTTTACCCCATTCCATGTGCGTACAACTTGTTTGCCGGGAAACGTGTGCAACGCTGATTGCTATTTCCGGCTCAAATACACATGGTAATCTTAATTAATTTATAGAGCAAAAACTGTAACTAAAATTACGCAATGCTAGGATATATTTCTTTGGGTTAAATAATAGTATTCTGTATTATATTTTACTGATGACTGCGTCAGAATTCGTCCCGTTATATTATTGTGCATGTTTGAACTTGTTCACCGGGAAACGTGTGCACAGCTGATTGCTATTTCCGGCACACGGTAATCTTAATCCCTGCAAATAATACAATGCCCAGCTAAAACAACTTATAACTTAAAAGGTAAATAATCTTGTCTAGTGATGTTTAATTGCAAATTTGACGTCTCTACTGACAAAGTCGTCTTCTGTTGTTTGTTCACGCGAAGTGATACGATGTTGTTTTCTTACCCCTGGAAAAAAGTTTGACGAAAGCGTAACCCATGGATAAGACGACCCCCTTCTACAGACTGCTTTTTTTGGTCCTAAAAATTCGGCTTATAGACGGTCATATACGGTATTCTAAATGTGTCCAAGATAGGATCAAACAAGTATCTGCACAGTGATAGGGATCTCTGACTCTGAGGTATTACCAACAGACACCAATGATAAAGATGATCACTGATTTTACTATATTACTGTATACTGAACAAAACTCTGTGACCATTCTTTTAACAGACCCGTGAAGGTCTGGGTTAGAATATTGATCTTCAGTAACCCATGCTTGTCGTAAGAGGCGACTAACGGGATTGGGTGGTCAGGCTCGCTGACTTGGTTGACATATGTCATCGGTTCCCCATTGCGTAGATCGATGCTCATGCTGTTTATCACTGGATTGTCTGGTCCAGGCTCACGATTATTTACAGGCCGCCACCATATAACTGGAATATTGCTGGGTGTGGCGTAAAACTAAACTCACACACTCTAACAGACATATTCTGACCGTAACATGACTTGAGAAATAAACTTCCTCTTTTCAGAGCAGGGTTTTGGTTACTGCAATGTGGCTGGTAGCCCATTCATGTTCAAGGCCAAAAAACAGCAGTAATGTTACATGTAAATATGCATGATAGTCCAGTACGACTAGTCACAACCCTGAGATGTACATTTGTCTGCTGCTGATAGTATCTGGATTGTAAGTCAGGATTCTGTGAATAAGGTGAACAAGACGCACATCAACCTCAATTCCTTTGACACAGTGAGTTGAATGATGCAGTCTATTTAAGTCTATTCAACCTGTGATAAAGTTAGAATTGATCTGTAGCAATCATGATCAATGCTCGGGGAATGATGTCACATCCCAATCAACGTGATCAATGCTTTGCTATATTGTATGTTTCAGACTGCATTGTTTACAAACCGTTGTATACCCGTGAAGATCCGGGTTAGAATATTGATCTTCAGTAACCCATGCTTGTTGTAAGAGGCAACTAACGGGATCGGGTGGTCTGGCTCGCTGACTTGGTGGACACATGTCATCGGTTCCCAATTGTGCAGATCGATGTTCATGCTATTGATCACTGGATTGTCTGGTCCAGACTTGATTATTTACAGACCCCGTCATATAGCTGGAATATTGCTGGGTGCGGCGTAAAACTAAACTCACTCTCTCACTCACTTCAAACCGTTGTCATATACCGATAGCTGGAATATTGGTGACTGTGGCATTAAATAACAAACATACAAATCAGAGCTTTTAATATTAATATTTTGGCTATTATTTTTATCCTGACTTCAGCTTAGAGAAAGACATCATTCTACACTGTGGTTTCAAACATCTACTTATAGTTGAGAAATTGTTTTCCCGGTCATTATTGAATAATTTAATGTCAGGTCAGTATAAAACTCAA